TTCATGAAAATCGGGTTATCAGTTTGCTAATTGTTAAGCTTTCGTATCCTGCAAGCAACCTTGCTATACATGCCCGTGTTAAAATGTTTTGACCTATTTTATAGGCAATGAAATATGTGAGGCTGTTAGAATAGAGGCTTATGTTTTGGATGTTCATGGCCGTGCATTTTGGAAACTGAACGGTGATTTTGGTGAAGATATTTTGCTTCAAGGTTAGTCTTAACTGTGCCAAATACAATTTGTAGATTTCCAGTTCATGAGTTATTTTGATGTGTAAGTTTTATATTTGCGTATTGTACAGATATGGGAACGTGGGATGGAGCTCCTTCTGTTGAAACCTGGTTCGTTTATGGTGCTGAAATGAAAGAGCCAATCGACAAATACCTCTCTTTTCTGAGTCTAAAGTATGCACATATAATTGTTCTACATTTTTAATTAGGTTGAAATTGTTCTGATATCGCACAGTTTTCTCTTCCTCCCTTTTCAATGGACTGGTTGTTCATGCATTCATTGTTTGCTTGGCTTGCAGACAAGAACGGGCCAGGGGCCAGAGGCCATTCAAAACTCGGTTTGCAAGCAATGAAGAAGACTTGCAGGTTCCTCAGACTCCTGAAAGCAATGAAGAAAACCCTCCGGTTTCCGACACCTTCTCAAAGCAATGAAGAAAACATGGAGATCAGTCCTGTCCTGAGGCTAATTAAAGTTTTGAGCCATCAGAAGACAGTATTTAGCTCCCCCATTTTCTGCACAAACTCCTATATGGGATGGTTGTTTCCTACTTCAGATTTCCCTCTGTATGGCGGGGAAGTGATGTCGAGTAGCCGGCCGACGGTCTCAGACGGAAAGAATTGTTGATCTGAACTTTTGGATAGTTGTATCTTAATGTTAGGGAAGTTGTTTCGTACTACCTTTAATCCTCATGCACACCTTAGGTTACTTTTGGCCTCTGAATTGAATGAATTTAACAACAATCAATCAAGGGACATGTAAATGATAGTGTGCAGGAGTGCCCAAAAATTATTTCCCCTGATTTTATTTTGTGATGGGAAATGTAAAACAATGTGATGAGTTAAATTTCGATGTAAGCTATGATTTCACGTTTCTCTACCTGTGCTCAATTTGGCTGGGTGTAAGATGTGATTTTACTGTTTCTCTATCTTATTCGTAACGTTTGGGTGTTGGAGAAAGTGAAAAAAACTTGGGTGTAAGCTGTGATTTCATAAATCTCTATCTCATTCGTAATGGTTAATTCTCGAAGAAAATGAAAAAAAAACTTGGTTGTATGTTGTGATTTTTCATTGTTTCTCTATCTTATTTATAATAGTTGATTCTTGATAAAAACGAGAAAAGCTTGGGTGTGTGATGTGATTTTTCATTGCTTTTTTATTTCAATTGTAACGGTTGGGTGTTGAAGAAAACGAGAAAAACTTGAATGTAAGTGGTGATATCTATCTCGAAGAATGTGGCAATCGCAACGGTTACAATCAATCCTAAAGAAAACAATGAAGTAAAAGCTAGCTCTGAAAACACATGCGGGTGCATGTGCATTTGGATATGCTATTAACTATTAGGCAAACCAAACTCTAAGAAAGCTTAAGAGGGTTAATTGGCTAGTTAATAATAAATAAACTTTTCTACATAAGAGCAACCCAAGTTCTATACAGTTGTCAAAAGCAAACCCTAACCTAGAGGAGAGAGAAATTGATGAGGATCGAATCAGCACTAAAGTCATAAATGTTTTTTGCCACTGCGATAAAGCGTCATCTACAAGACAAATTTTTATTTCAGTGAGTACATAACACCTTCACATGCCATATATAAATGAGGGACATTTAAGTCATATTTATGATCATTTATTAAATATTGCTAGAAACTTGACTCGATTATTGCTAAGGTCCTTGCACTCTTTTAAAATGACTTTAAGTAACATCGCGTGACATATCACCATATAGCCTACTACCAAAACAAGGTCGAGTGAAGCTCGAGATTGAAGGATCAATTCTGCACATTATATAGTGGGCTGGCCTAACTTAAGAAATTAGAATATTTTCAAGTTGAGGCATGATTATCAACGTCATGATAGTGTATCTACCACGAATGAAAAGGAAAATGGTTAGCGAAGAAAAGGTGGCCATCATTTAATTTTATTTCATGTTAATGAAATTACAAATATACCCTCTAAACCCTAGGCACCTCCTATTTGTATGTGTTTTCGTCTCACTTTCATACCAACAAAGGCTGTCGCTGCTCAGATTTATCTTTTCCTATTTTTCAACAAAAAATTTCAGCCATAAATCTGCTTCTCTTTTGCATTTCCCTCACTCTAATTTGAAGGTATGTAACTTCTCCAGCATTTGTTATATCTCAATTGCAAGTGTGCTGATACTCTCAGATCTATACTAATTCTGCATTTTTCTCAAGTTTGATTGTAATCTTGAAATGAAAATGGATTAAATTAGATATTTTGATGATTGTTATCGCATCAAAATGAATTATGTCGGTGCATAATTATTAGCCCAAGATTATTATCATTTTCTTATACGTGTTTGATTGTAATCTTGAAATGAAAATGGATTAAATTAGATATTTTGATGATTGTTATCGCATCAAAATGAATTATGTCGGTGCATAATTATTAGCCCAAGATTATTATCATTTTCTTATACGTGTGTGTTGAGAGAGTAGCGGTTCGATTAGAATTTCAAATTCAAAGATCAATGGTCACAATCACTTGAGTCACAAGTCCGTTATTGGATTATTAATGCATATCATTTCAATGAAGAAGTGAAAATTGGATTAGATTATATCATTAATGCATATAATTTTTGCACAACCGGTGGATTGTTTGCCTTGGTGGTTAGATTCTCTCTTTATGAAGAAGTGACCATGATTTTGAGTTTTACTACGGAAAATGTTCATTCAAAAGAGGGTAGACAAGTTGTTTAGAGGATGATGATTTGAAATTGATGGATTTTTACTTTCTTTTTTAACATACAATATTATCTATACTAAAGAGGAGGGAGTGGATTTAGCCTCACAATGAGCTAGCAATAATGTGGTTCGAACTCGCTAAAGAGAAATACTGCTAGACCGTAGTACTAAATGGCTTTACCTTGTTAAGAATTTAGGATATTCTTTGATATGAATTAGTGAAATAGTTAAGTTTTTTAAGGTAACAAATTTCCATTGAGTAGGAAGAAATACATAACATTAGGTAGTCTTTTCACGATAGTTATCATTCCTCAAGTATAGATTTTTTTTATTTTTCAGAAAATTTTAAGGAAAAAAGCAAGGGAGTTTTAACAAAACACTCTCGGTACTGTTTACTTTTAATGAAAAACCATATTTTTACATTTCTCTGATACTATTCACTACACCTTTATTTGTCCATTTTCATTAAATCTAAAGTTTTTTTTTACTTTTCGTTAGTTTGTCTAAAAAACAAATGTAGATTAGTAAATTGTACCTTCAAAATTTTAATGACAGTTCATTATGCAATACATAAAAAATAACTTCTACGATAAAATTTTCAACACAAGTGTTGTCACATCCCAGACCGACTCCGTTGTAGCACGATATTGTCCGCTTTGGGCCACGCCCTCACGGTTTTGTTTTTGGAAACTCACGAGCAACTTCCCAGTGAGTCACCCATCATAGGATTGCTCTAGCTCAAACTCGCTTAACTTCGGAGTTCCGATGGAATCCAAAGCCAGTGAGTTTCCAAAAAGCCTTGTGCTATAAGAGGTGGGCATGTACATATACACATCACCCCATCTCCGTTAGTCAATGTGGGATGTTACAATCCACCCCCTTAGGGGGCCTGACGTCCTCGTCGGCACACTCGCACCGAATGGCACACCCTCACGATTTTGTTTCTGGGAACTCATGAGCAACTTCCTAATAGGTCACCCATTCTAGGATTGCTCTAGCCCAAACTCTCTTAACTCCGAAACCAGTGAGTTCCCAAAAAGTCTCGTGCTATAGGAGGTGGACATATATATATAAAGCACATCATCCCCTCTCCGTTGGTTGATGTGGGATGTTACAAGTGTGGTGTTTTTTTTACCACAGTTGTGAAAAACAATGACGCTTATGCACCTTGGGGTATGTTGATCGGAGGTAGATTCTCAGCCCTCCCACTTCCCGTGCCCTCCTGTTTTGTGTGGTCACGGTTAAGTCACATTAACATTTTATATTATTTTTTTATAGAGATAATAAGACAAAAATGAATAGTAATATAAAATGTTGACGTGGCTTAACCGTGACCACACAAAACAGGAGGGCACGGGAAGTGAGAGGGCAGAGAGTCTGCCTCCATGTTGATTTCCACTGATCTCTCATTCTTAACAATTAACAATTTAAGCCACTAACACTTTTGTTTATCCAGTAAAAATTTAACAACATTTTAAACAATTCTTGGTTTAAAAACATTAAATTAAAAGCTTGGACATGCTAGGCATGGGAATTGGATCCTCTTCGAGGCAAAGCCTCGAGATCCTCCTGATCCATTAAAACGGGCCGTTGAATTTTGATCCAACGACTACAATTATTATAACTTTTAAAAGAGTTCCTAATTTCGTGTTATTGGGTCAGGAAGATCCCGAGAATTTGCCTCGGGGAGGATCCAATTCCCTAGGCATGCACGGTAGTTATAACTTTTTCAGAACATTGCATAAGTAAATTTTCTTAACAATAGATTCACGAGCGCACACTCTAACTAATCATAATCTTTCTTTTTTTTTTAAAAAAAAAAATTATTATTTTTAAGGAGAGAATGAAGTTTCAAAATTATTAAAATAATTTATAAAAGAGAAGAGTTTCAAATTTGGGACGCATGGGTGGGAATGGAACATAATCTTAAGTGTTTTTTTTTCCTGAACAAATGATATTATTTACGCTAAGGGAAGGAGGTGAGCTTAGCCTCACAATGAGCTAATAATAATGTGGTTCAAATTTGTCTTTGGTGAAAATCGAACCTAAGACCTCTCAATTACAAATAAAGAGGAATATCACTAGACCGTAATACTAAGTGGCAACATACTTTTAAATTTAGATTGTGTGAGATTAAAGAGTTCAGACTCGAACAAATACCAAGTTATTCAACAAACTTTAACAGAAAAACAAAAAGAAGAGAGAACAATTCATTCTCTGTAGGACATGTATGTCATATCTGAATCGGGCAAATGAATTTTGCTTTGACGTTCTTGCATAACGCCGCAAATTCCATCTTTTTTTACGGCATTGCGGAATTTAATCAACAAAAAAATTAACCAAAAAGATAACTCCAAATTTCATTAACAGTAGATGTTTTCTCATCATCCAAACAGAATAAAAAAGAAAAACAAGATAAAATGGGCTAAGAAAATCAACTCTCGCGTACATTCAAAACCCTTTCACCAAATAAAACCAAGCCCTTGAATCGCGTACTTGAAGCCGAAAAATAAACAAAACTCACCTGGTGATAGGTTTCATTCTTTGAACTGGCGATCCAGCCTCCTACGGCCACACTGCCGTGTTTCTGGACAACCACGTTATTTTCTGCAACGGAGCTGACCTCCACTTCCATCCTCTCCACCGTAGCACAGCAGAGCTCGAAGGCATCCCCATTTCTCTCCAAAAACTCGATTCAGAAATACGAAAGGATTGTCACCTCTGCAGTATGCCAAAGTGACAGGTCGCAGAGGTGTCAATTCTGAAATCTTCCTGGTGCCCGAGTTGAGAGTATAAATTTGACGTGTGAGTGATTTTGTACTTCTGGCGATGGCTTCGAGCTTTGCTGCGGCTACGGTTGAGAGGATGGAGGTGGAGGTCAATCCCGCTGCAAAGAATATGGTTATCCAGGAGCACGGCAGTCTGAGGTTTGGATCGCGGGTTCAGAGAACAAGACCTGTCATCAGTTGAGTTTTGTTTTTGGTTTCTAAGTACGCGATTCGAGGGGCTGTGTTTTGTTTGGTGAGAAGATTTTTAAATGTAGGGAAGAGTTGATTTTCGTAGCTTTTTTATCGTGTTTCTTTTATTTTGTTTGGACGACGAGACAATGTAGGGAATTTATGTAATTCGGAGTAGAATTATCTCTTTTGGTTAATTTAATTTTTGGTTAAATTCTGCATTGCCGTCAGAGGAAGACGGAACTCTCGGTGTTGTCTAAAAATCTCAAAGCCAAAGGCCCTTGCACGGTTCAGCTATGACATGGTTGTCTGAAGAACAGGTTAGATTAGAATGAAAATTAGTCTCCTTTTTTTCGGTTTCGGAGTAAATTTTTTGGACTAAAATTGGTGGTGGGTGTTGAACTGAGGGAGTGGCACAGAAATGTACGAAATGTCAAGGCAAATGCAATTGTAAGTAAGCGTATGGAATGCCATATAACTGTTAACTTTGTATTTGTAGTTTACGTTTTAGTGCTGCTGTCAATTAGAGAAGTGTGTTTTTCAAGCCGGTTTAATACCCACTGGTATTTGCATGCACGAAGCCAAGAAGAAAGGGTATCAATCTGTTGCTGATATGTTGCGTGTGGAGAAGCTGCAAAAGAAGGAGAATGGCGACAGCAAGGATGGTAAAGGGCGAATGCATGTGGCTTCAGACATGGTTTGGTGCTGTTGTTTACAATTTTATGTTTTGATTAGTTTTATTGCTGTTTAAGCGGGCTCATGATCTCGGTTTTGGCAGGCAACGAGTTTTGATTCACCTAGCTAACGAGGGAAGGAGAATGCCCTTGATCAGAGCGAAGATGTAATGACAGCGGAGATGATGCTGCTGCTGCTGCTGTGAATGATGATGATGCCAAGGCCAAGGGCAAGGCTGCAAGAGGGCGTCGCAGGGTCAAGGAACGCCAATTCGATAGTAGAGAGTTGTTCTTGAGCTTCCCCTACCTCAGGGCACCCCATTGACAACTGTAGCGGGTGTCAAATTAGCTGCTGAGGATGTGGGAAATGCTCTCCAATTTTTGAAGTTTTGTGAAACTTTTAGAGAGGTAACTTTTGTTCTATTAGATATTTGATTGAAAGATGCTCTAAACTTGTTTTAATTTATTTTGACACTTGAAATCTCATCCTTTATTCTTTTTACTCTAGTTTTTTAAGATTGAAAAGTCCCAAGCTCAGTCTGTCTTCGGGAACTATCGCATGGAGGAAGTGGGCGAAATGGACGGCCTGGACAGTACTCCTCCGTAGTTCGATTTCATAGCTATATGCTCTTCTTCATACAGAAGGGTTTATTACAGGAGTAAGAACTCTACCTAATACTATAGTTATGCATAAAGTACTTTTAGTAAACTTTAATGAGGGAAATAATTCATGTGGTTTCTGACATCTTCATTTTCTGTTAGGTCTCTAGAGCAAGCAAGCAACAACCGGTCATGATTCCAAGATTTGGCGAAGCTGGTGTCTGCATCCGGGGTCTCTAAGGTTGACCCTGTGATGAAGGAGCTGCCTGCAGAGTGTTTTATTGGAAGCAGGGAGGGATAAAATGCCTTAAACTTCTCCCAAAAGCTTAGGCTCCTGAATTTCCTCTGTGATGAGGCTCTTAACACAAAGTAAGTAGATGATACATAATATGTAAATTATAATTATGTAATTGTCCCGTTTTCTGCGTTATGAGTGATGAGAACTTTTCAATCTTTTGTCCAGGACACTGAGGGGATGGATTGAGGAGCAAAAAGAAAGATCTGTCCAATGTAAAAGGGACATGAAAGCAAAAGTTGCTCTAGCAAAGGATAAGGTAAGATGAAAACAAGTCGAGCTTTTATGAGGCAAGCATTTTTTAAGCCAACATAGAGGTCTGTTTTTAACTAAATCATATGAGCAGGAGAGAGATATCCAAGCAAAGTTGCAGGAGCAGATGGCTAAGAGGGCCACTCCAGAGAACAGCGATGCTGTCCCAATTTCAGAGTCGGACTCCATTGCTTCAGTTCTCAGAAGTGAGGCAGCTCAAGCTCACACGGAGGTGGTCAAGGCAATGGCCATGGTACCCCAAAGTAAGTCCCATTTGTAATATCTTCAGCCTTTCAACCTTTTGTTTCTTGCTAGAATCGATGTTAAACTATCGTTAAGACTTAAGAACACTTTTTGAGATGTTTTTTCCGTTTGGTTGAAATGCTTTTTATGTTTTGGTTCTTCATGAAAATCTGATTACACATGCTTGCGCAAAAATTGTTGACTTATTTTGCCGGCAATGAAATATGTGAGGCTCTTAGAATAGAGCCTTACATTGTGGATGCCGATGGACATGCCTTCTGGAAACTGAAAGGCGATTTTGCTGGACATATATTGCTTCAAGGTTAGTTTTAACTGTTCCAAATACAACGCGTTGATTCCCAGTTTTTGAGTTATTTCGATGTAATAATTTTATTTTCGACTATTTTACAGATCTGGGAACCTGGGATGGAACTCCATCTGGGGAACGATGGTTCGTCTGCGGTGCTGAAATGAAAGCACCAATTGACAAATACCGCTCTTCTCTGGCTCTAAAGTATGCACACATACCTGTCCTGTTTTACATTGTTTATAGAATATCGCAAAGTTCTACTAAACCCCCCCCCCCCCCCATCCCTATTTTTTATGAACTGGTTGCTGATGCATTAACTGTTTGATTGGCTTGCAGGGAAAAACAGCCCAAGAGGGAGCAAGGGCGTTCCAAAATTTCTTCAAGCAAAGAAAAAAAGTTGCAGCTTTCCCAAAAATATGCATACATACAACTATACAAGTTACAAGGATCCGGCTGCATGCCCAAATTTCTGTATAAACTCCTACATGGGAAAGCCGACCATAATTACTTTGTGACGGGGAATGTAAATTTTAAGATGAGCTTTGTCATGGTTATTTCTTAACAGCCTTCGGAATATTCATGTCTTCATCTATCTTGATATTTGCTCCTAGTTAAGATTCCAAATATTTCAAAGTACCTTGGGTTTAGGTCCTTAAGCGTATGTTTAAGACTGCTTTTGTAGGAGTATTTTTGCTCATAAGCGTTTTTCCAAAAGTGCTTTCGTTAGAACTTTGGTCTTGTTTGGGGGTTGATTTAAGAATAGCTAAAACACTTCTGACTGCGTTTGGTAGGAAAGGTTAAAAGTGCTTTATGAAGAAAGTGGGTAAGAAGACTTTCGAGTAAACAAAGACGAGTCTTCTGCCGGAGCCTTACATGACCTGATCGGCACCGTGGCAGGAGGAGAACGGAGGAAGATGGTGGGGGCGGGGGTGGTGGTTAAAGAGGAGGGTAGGGAGTAGAAGAAATAGGGCTATTGTAGGAGTTTGATGAGTGACACTTGGGGAGTGAAGCATTGGACTTGGACATGGTTAAGATTGCCAAGACTACTGGATTTCGGGATGTAACTTTTAAAATGTTGATATCAACATTTCTTACGTATATACAACGATTTTTAAATGTTGAAATTTTTTACCAAAGCAGGATACTTTTTCTTTGTAGTTTCAGTTACTTTCTCAGCAACGAAACATAGGACAAGAATAATAATACCTGAAAAGCCTACGATTGACCATTAAGGCATACATGAATTTTTTATTTTTATTTTTTTAACAAACGATAGATAATTTACACTATCAAGATAGGAGACATGACTTAATTGACATCACACGTGCACAACATACCATCGTATAACCTACTACCAGAACAAGGATTTGTTATTTTGTATAGCATGATCTAAGCCAATCTCCAAGGCGGGGTCAAGCTTGAGATGGAAGGATCACTTGTGCTTGTTATATAATAGGCCGCCCCAACTTGAGAAATCAAAATATTTTTTAATTTGGGGCATGATAATGAGTCGGCCTAACAAGATTAAAAAGGGAAATAGCTAACAAAGTGAAAGGATCATTAAATTACAAATATACCCTTCAAACTCTAGACGCCCCCCATTTATTTGTGTCTTTGCTTCTCACTTTCGTACCGGCAAAGATGGTTCACGGTCAGATCCATCTTATCTATTGTATTCTTTTCCAAAAATTCTCCATTGTTATTTTTGCTTCTCTTTTGCGGATCTCTCACTCTAATATGAAGGTATAAAGCTTCTATAACACTTTTCTAATTTGTCTCCACCCTCATTTTCGCTGGTACTCTTAGATCTTACTAATGTATTTTTCTCAAATTTGATTGTGATCTTATAAAGAAAAGTGGATTAGATTAGATCTTACGCATCTAGATGAATTTTGTGGGTGAGTTGAGAGAAATTTTCTCCTTTGAGTTGAAGTGCACATATTTTGTTAGCACACATTATTAGTAACTTTTTTTCCTTTTCTTTTACAAACGTATTGGGGAGAGTGGAGAATTAGTTATAGCTCCTCAGATTTATGACAGAGTTAACTATTTGAGCTACAATTTTATTATTGATGCATATCGTTCAATGGTTTGTTTCATACATTAAGTTTTAAAAATTAAGATGTATGGATTTTGTTTAGATGATGATTTCAGACTGATGAACAAAAAATAATCGAGGAAGCAAAAAAGAAGTAGATTAGTTACTAACCTATACCCTCGAAACTATAAAAATGGTTCAATATCTAATCCCCACCCTAGTGTTTTGAAAGAATTGTTTTTTTTTTTTTAACAAAAAGAATTGTTTTATCAGACTAAGGGAAGTAGATGCTAAAAATCTAAGTCTTCGGGTTTTTATGGAAACAAATCTGAAGAATAAATTAAATAGGAAAGAAAGTTAAAACTCCTGATACTTTGCAACCATAAAAGGAAAAACATATTAACAAATCCCATAAACTTTGACTGGCCACCAATTCTCCTGCCAAATGTTGAAGAGGGAAGGGAACTAGGACAGTACAAATAGCAGCTCTCCAATGTCCGGCATGATCATCATGAGTTAACCATGCAATCTCCCCGATGGCTGAATGCGAGAATATAGATTGAGGCTTAGCTAGGGAGAGATTTTGTTCCAGCGAGTCGATTTCTGAAGAAAATGGTGATAACTTCAAGCTCTATCGCAGACACTGTTCATCTTCCAATATGAAAGAAATAAGCTCGAAGGTAAAACTTTTATAATTCACGAGCTCACACTCTAACCAAGTAACCAGTCCTAGTCTTTCTTCATTTCTCATATTCAGACAGTCTGCAAGATTGAACATACATATTTATTCCACAAATTTTATCTGGAAATTAAACAAAAGGAAGATACATAGGAAAAACCATTCTAATCTAGCCTGTTTATAAGCCATCTATTACATAATTGAAGAGGGCATATGCCTTCTATCCTCTACTTTCTTGCTTACGTATTACACCTCCATCTTCTGAGCTCGGACGTTGCTTTCCGTGAGGTGTAAGAACTCTACCTTGTGTATTACATTTATGCATACTTCAGTACGCTTTAATGGTGGAAATAATTCATGTGATTTCCGCCACCTTCATTTTCCGTTAGGTCTCTAGAGGAAGCAAGCACCAACTGTTCATTCAAAATTTGGTGAATCTGATCTCTGCATTAGGGGTCTGTAAGGTCGACCTTGTGATGATGGAACTGCCCGCGGGGTGTTTTGGTGGAGGCGGTGATATATATGATGAGGCTCACGACACTGAGTAAGTAGAAGATACATAATATGTGAATAATCAATTTTTGTAATTGTGCTGTTTAGATTTACGAGTGACGATAACTTTTCAGTCTTTTCTCCAGTAGACCGAGTGGATGGAATGAAGAGCAAAATGAAAGGTCTGTCGAACAAAAAAGGGACGCCAAATGAAAAATTGCTAATGCTAAAGATAAGGTAATGTGAAAAACCAGGCAAGCTTTTGAGAGGCAAACATATTTTGGAGCCAACAAGGGGTTGTATTTTTAACTAAATCATATATGTGCAGGAGAAGGATCTCGAAGCAAAGTTGCAGGAGGAGATAGCTAAGAGGACCACTGCAAACAGTGGCGATGCTGTCCAACTTTCAGAATCCGACTCCATTGTTTCGCAAATCACGAGTGAGGTAGCCCGAGCTCACATGGAGGTTCTTGAAGCAGTAATAGCATGTTACCGGAAAGTAAGTTCCAATTCGAGTATCTTCAGCCTTTCAATTTCCTTTTTCTTTTTGTTTCTATTAATTGATGTTTTTCTTTTAATGTTTTGGGTTTTCATGGAAATCTGGTTATCATTTTGCTAGAAACTAAGCTTTCGTATTTTTCACGTGCTTGGTATACATGGTCGTGTTAAAATTGTTTTGACTTATTTTATAGCCAATGAAATATGGGAGGCTGTTAGAATACAGCCTTATGTTGTGGATGCTGATGGCCATGCCTTATGGAAACTGAAAGGCGATTTTGGCGAAGATATATTGCTTCAAGGTTAGCTTTAACTGTGCCAAATACAATGTGTAGATTTCCAGTTCACGAGTTATTTCGATGTTCTAATTTTACTTTTCAGTGTTGTACAGATATGGGAACATGGGATGGAGCTCCTTCTGTTGAAAACAGGTTCTTTATGGTGCTGAAATGAAAGAGCCAGATGTTTCCTAGTTCGGATTTCGCTCTTTGCGACATTTCTGATTCGAAGGGGAAGTGAACTTGAAAAATTGGCGCGCTGCCTCAGATTGTGGTTATGAAAGTTTAATAGTTATTTTTTTAGACAGGGATATATACGGTATGAGGGGTGAGAAAATAAATTGGTAGCCAACTCGTCATTCACGAGATACGAACATAAAACTAGTTACTCACAAGTGAAGAGAAATATCACTAGATCATAGTATCAGTAACGAATAGTTGGATCATAGTTTTTTTTTGTAATGGGAAATGTAAATTATGGGATGAGCATTGGTCATAGTTATTTCTGAACAGCTTTTGGAACTTAAATAAATGATTTTCATGTCTCTTGATCTATCTCGAATTCTTGGTCAGGCCTTGAAGTTTTTTTCATTTGTTCATGACTATTTTGCGGTACAAAACACTTGAGCTCATAATTTTTTTTTTTTGTTACCGGGTGCTCTTACTAGAAGGTAGAAAAATAATTCAAAAAATGCTTTTTCTGTTCATAAGTATTTTTAAATTTGTAGTCAAATTGTATTTTTACAAGTTATCTAAAAAAGCAAAATAAAATGGATAACATGAGGACACGTAATCAGAAATTTGGCGGTTGGGAGTAACCAGCAAAACTACCGAAGCTTTCTCTCATGGTCTGAATCTTTGAGGGAGGAGGGAGAGAGAGAGAGAGAATCCAATGGCAACGCAAGCACTATCTACTCCAACTGCAACTGCAAGAGGACGCAGCAGCTCCTGCCGCCATCATGACGTCAACCGCCGCCGCTTTCTCTCTCTGCGCCACCGTACCACTGCCTCATCCTTATCAAGGCCCATCACCAGCTTCCTCATCCACCTGGATCCCATTGGACGCAGAGCCCACCAACTCTCGAAGTCCAAGCCCAAACTGACCATCCAGAGAGCCGCCGACTCTTCCACTCAGCCTTCCACCGTCACCTCCTCCTCTGCCGCCGGCAAAGCCATCGTTCCCGACGACCAGTTCTCCCTTGCTAAGGTACCCTCTGCTCTTCTTTACCTTCCTCTTATTTCATTCACACACGTGCGAGAGGAACGTGCCAATCGTCTGCGAAACAAAATATGCATAGATAAAATCGGTTAGCAAACTTTAAAAACAAAAATATAATTGATGGGATATGTAACAGACAATGAGCTGTACATAAACGAGTGTAGCGTCACTTTTGTCGTGCATATTTTTGAAAGATTTGAGGATTCTAATATACGTTGTTTATGTAGATATGAATATGTATACTTGTATCATGTAGTTTTTCTTGTGTGGTGTTTGCAGGTTTCGTTTGGGGTTATTGGTCTGGGTGTTGGGGTTTCACTCTTGTCGTGAGTACTTTATCGCAGCATCAAGTTTGTAAATTTTTTAAGCATTTTGATTCTTACATGTTTTTTCGTAATAAATTCATGTGGTTGTGATGGATTTCGAACAGGTATGGTTTCGGAGCGTATTTTAATATCCTTCCAGGGTCCGAATGGTCGGCATTGATGCTCACATACGGCTTCCCTCTTGCAATCATTGGTATGGCTTTCAAGGTAACACTAATTACCAAAGCCATTATCTTGTGTACAAGTTATAATGCAGGCTATTGCCAACTTCAAATGTCGGCCGCGTGATGATGCGGATTAGTAGTTGTTGATTTGGTTTCATGAACTTTTTGTCTGGTTAATTTGCTTTGATTGTCAAACAAGTTCATACCTAGGTTCTTGCTCTGCTATTTAGACAAACTTTGGCTTTGTTTATTTCGTGACTTGAAGTATTTTGTGTATCTATTTGCATCATAGTGTTCCGTTTTTCTGTATTGCAGTATGCAGAACTAAAGCCAGTGCCATGCTTGACTTATTTGGATGCGCTACAATTAAGGGAAACAAGTGCCACCCCAATCCTTACACAGGTAATTAGATTGAACTGCCTCATTCGTGACATAAAAGACGTGGTAATGTAAGAAAATAGATGTTGTTATGGTTTATATAAGGTGTGGTAAATTTATTGCATCAACCCTCGGAAACCTTGGACTGTATGTGCCAGTAACGTGTCGTTCGTTATTAGTATTATCCCATCTACATTGAGGTGATTGCAATTTTGGGCAAGATTTGTAGTTTCTTGTGATTCTTCATAACAATTTTGAACGAAGGCAGGGGGTGACTGGAAAATGATCTTTTGAAGAAACGTGTGCTTGAGAATCAATATCATTAAAATACAGAATAGGATCTTGGGGAAATATGATCAACCCCTCTGAACTTTGGGGTTAGTTCTAAGTCCATAAATGGATAGATTCGATCACTTCTATGAATGTCTGATGCATGCAATTCGTGGTTTTTTTTTTTTTCCTGTTGTTTTACCCAAATGTTATGATATATCGATTTAGGTTAGGAATGATGTTACAAGGTATCGTTATGGAGATGAGCAGCATTTGGATGAGGCGTTGAAACGAATCTTCCAGTATGGTCAGGTGCGTTATCTGCTTTGCGTGTAAATACTAGAACTCTATGACATCTATTCATTTGTTTTGGAATGTTCTGCGAGAGTGAAAGAAATGTTTGGCCTTCCGTATACCTTTTTGGAAGCGACTTGTCATCACAACACTTCACTTTCAAAAGAATTTTGGATGTAGATAATCTTATGCTCAGTGCACAGTTACACCGAGGGCCTTATTATTAGGAATATACGCTTCAAGCACTGTTTTGTGCTTAACATCTTCTCGTTTACCTGGTTTTCCTTTCAGGGTGGAGGAATTGCTCGGAGGAGTGCACCTACTCTCCAAAGTATTCGTGAAGAGGTATGCTTCTCACCAGCAGTTGGTTTCAAGCGCTTAAACTTTCAAGTTTACTAAACAATTTTTTTTTTTTTGATGTCGAAATGTATCAGTAAACAGCAACTTCTGTGGCCACTTGTAATATCCTTTTGATTACCTTCCACTAAATACAACTCTTTCGGGAATTTATATGAAAGGAGAATTTGTTCTTTCCTAAATATCGCATACAAGAGCAGACTGACGACATGATATGATTGCTCAATTATTTTTGAAGTATCTTGTATCTTAAAGAACCTCAACCATTTGTAATATCCTTAAGGTTTTAATCCTTTCAATTTGTGGTGAGGCTATTAGTTACTTTGTATCAAAGTGTGACCGACCATTATTCCCGACCGCTAATACTATCTCAAATTATGATCGTATGTTCTTAGGTCACCGGAGATGGTAGATACTCTCTAGTCCTGGTGTTTGAGGCAAAAGCTCTGCAGTTGTCAGATTTTGAAGAAAGACAGGTAAAGAATTATGAGTATACAGAGTCCCGCTGCACCTGTTAATAGTCGCATTTATCTATATTTAGAACTACACGTTTGCTCGTGCTTCCCGGCATAATAAATTATTTGACCTTGCATTTTGAGAAAAAGATACTGCATACTGATTAATCGAATTCTGACATTTCTAGGCTAAGTTTACTTCATTCTTCGGACCAGGAATCACAGCTGAAGTTGGTGAGTTTTATTCCTAAATGCTTCAAGTCCAATGAAAATTTTCGAACTTGTAAAACTAGAAACCTGTGTGTTCAACAATCTGAATTTCACTTATACCGAACATTTTGGAATAATACTTACTTTCTGGTGCAGGGAAGGGAGAGAATGATCTATACGAAGTCCGACTTATTTCCAACACCAACGCTAACCCTACTGCATCACCGTTGTAAAGAAAAGATGTATTATAGTTTGATCGAATGCTGCTCTGTAGTAGTGTTTTCATATTACGCAGCTTTTTGTCACTTGTAATTTGTAAAACTTTTTGTTTAGATTCAGTTGGCAGCTTTATTGTATCATGCACAGATTTTTGAAGAGCGAATCGGAAATATGAGCAAAATTGAAGTCGTTGTTACTCATCTCGATAGCTTCAAATTCAATTCTGCTTAGTCCATTGCTTGAAGCTTAGATCTTCCACCACTTCGAGTGGTAGCCAACTTCTTCAATTTGTTGTTTTTCTTTTGGCTATTTCGAGTCTTCTTCTAGTGGTTGTCTAAGATGGTTATCCGAGACGTTTTTGAAAGTGGTTTTCAGTTATATTCTCGTTCTCCGCGTCTTTGGGCGCTTGAAGGTGTAGAATGGGGCAACGCACCTATATATTTCTCTCTTATTCTATTGTTCCTCTCCAGTCTCTACGTGCAGGATGAGCCTGCACGTGACGGAGGTCGTAAACTTGGAGAGATTTTTCAATGTGACCGTCACACGAGGTGGTACACCACGTGTTCCTATATAAATGATGAGTTATATGTGTTAAAAAGTTAATAATTTAAAAATTAGAATTTTCCACCACTTACATAAAAACACGTGGTGTACTATCCGTATTTCCGTCACAACTAAAAATTTCTCGTAAACTTGATATACATCATTATAAGATAGTTCTGGATTGTCAAGGTTTTCCATTTTTCTTTTTCGAAACCTCTCGTTATTTTCAAATTTTTTTGGCATACAAATTGATACACGACTGGATGACCAATGATGATGAAAGTTATGTAAAGTTTATCCCACCCACATATCTTCAAAACGGTTTTCGCATTACGGTTAAGTATATTTATTAAAATGTGGACAAGTTGCATCTGCGTTGTTGATACTATTAATACTTTGAGATGATTTAGATATGCGATCAATATGATTAGTGCTTTGTCATCAATAAATTAGATAAAAGTTAACCGCTCTGAAAAACGACTTAGCCTTTAATTTCCCAAGCTTAAAATATTTACTCCAAGATCTTCATATTTCGAATCCTATTCAAAAGCGCACAAACGAAAAACATAAGTGAAGCCCAAAGCTGTCAGCCAATTTGAACATAACATGAACAAAAACGTTAATATCATCAGTGACTCAAATTATTACTGCATAAAACATAAACATAATAATACATTGATGGATTGTTCTTTTTATTTCCTCTCTGCAAAAGATTTCTCAAAAGACACAGAGAATCTCTGCTTTCACCCTGCAAATGTTCACTTCTCTTTCTTCTTTTTTTACCATATTAATAATTTCAGCTCCTGATAATAATTTAATTTTCTCAGCACCCTTTGAGATTCAGATGAGAAAGAAAGTTATTCTTCTTGTTTTTTGGTTTATGTTTCTCTCGGTACCTTCTTCTCATCCATGACAAGCACCCACCTTGCCTGCACTTTTGCTTTTGCTTTTCTCTTTTTGTTTCTTCTTTTGTATCTTTCACTTCCACCTGCATTTTATGTAGCCACATACATAAAATCTCTTTCCTTTTATTTTCAATTGCATCTTTTATATATTTGGTAATTTGATAAGGAAAGTAATATAAAATAAAGCAACAAGAAGCTTCTGGTATATGAAAGAAGAAACCCCTTTAACCTAGTTAGTTTCTCTCGCACTTAAAATATCAGGGACGGCTCTAGTTTGTGCTTGACCAAAATTTGGATGGTGCAAAATTTAGTTGATTTTGGAAGAAAAACTTAATATGGAGATTCCTATCTATCCATCTCACTCATCAGTTATATTACGTAATAATTGACATAGAGATACGAGAATATATCATGGTTGCTAGGGGCTAGATGGAGACTAACAATTTCAAATGAAGTGTAGTGTTAGGTGAATAGCTAGAGTAGACTAGTGTCACTTTCTGCAACCATCAGTCACCATGGTAAATCACATGGTCTTAAATGGAAGAGAATCCACTCCGAACCTTAATGTTCGAAGCCTCCTCATTAAATCATCTGGGTCGAAGAAATTGAATTCAACAGTCTTCATTAATTCATTTTTTTGGCCCACCACACACAACAAACGGTCTTGATTTGACTTGCACACCAATCAGCATGATGCCTTGATAAGAAGGCTCCGAACACTAAGGTCTGAAGCGAATCCTCTTCCTTCTTAGACACCATCAAATGACAATCTCCATCACAACATGTACAAGTTAATGATCACAAACCCTAGCAAAAAGTTTGAAAGGACATGACTCAGTCACCTAGTCCAAAGATGCAACAAATTGGAACTGATTCCCTCCGGACCCAAATAAACTAAGTCTCCTGAGCAGGATTCGGATCGTTGAAATTTGATTAAACGTCTACAAACAAAGGAGTCCTCTAAAAGATATAATAATTGTAACTGTTGGATCAAATTTCAACGGCCCGAATCCTTAAGCTCAGTTTATTTGTGTCAGGAGGGGATCCAATTCCCAACAAATTTGCACTTAAACAGTGAAATCTTCAAGTAACAAACCCGGAAACACATGACCATCTTTTCCAAAAAGATGAACCAATAAATAAGTGATGTGGCATTTTCAGTGAGGAATCCAGATACTTTTTGTGAGAATTTCAGATATTCATTACCTGTGTTCGTTTATTGTACATTATGCAGTAAAAAATCATATTAAATTTATTTATTTAAAAGTAAACATAAATAGTACCTGATAAAAATTAAGAACACGATATACGATAAATGGATACGATTCACGAATCTTCAGGATCCTCACAAAGAGAATTCAGAGGGAATCCTGTTGGTTCAGTGAGAACCCCAAAGATCAAAAGGGGGGGGAGAAAAAGTGAAGAATCCTTTTTAAGATTTGCACTGAAAGAATCTTCAGGGTTTCCACACAAAAACAAAAAGGTGGTGGTAAAATGGAAGAGGATCTTTTCCGAATTCACTTTGTGGGATTATAGGAATCCTTATATTGTAGTTGTTCATCATATATCGTACGATCAGTTTTCATTAAGTACTATTTGTGTATAATTCTAAATAAAAAATATCAAATGATTTCTAATCGTACAATGCACGATGAATGACTAATATGTGAGGATCTCTAAAATTCCCATAATTTGAATTGATCCAAATCCGGTAAAAAAGGAACACATGGTTCCTGCATAATTCAAGGCAAAAAGTTAATGCAAAGTGGTGGTGGACATGCAAGTTGTCTTGCAACTTAGAGAGGATAGAAACTTATCTACACTCGAGATAATACAGTTGTCAATATCACACATTAATAATGTATTGTCACGTAATAATCATATACTATTACAAAAGGACGAGTCTAATTGTATTTGATACTATTCGACTCCATGTGACATTGTGAATACAACGCCTAATGCACACGGTCCGACACACCGTGACAGCATACCCTACCCAAGGTTCTTCTTTTCTTATTGGAGGCAAAATGATATTCCGAGAAGAGAGTTTATGTGCTGGAAAGCACATAAAAACCAAAGAGGGACCAATTCAATCTGCTAGTCCCTCACCTTGAAGGGAATACTCTATTTTTTATGACACCAACCCACCTTCATTTAGTTGTCCCATCTTCAGAAACAAATCATTAATTAAAAACACGAGAAACGCTGCCGGCATCCCAAATGCATCATGTAATAGGTCACAAATTTTTAATAAAATATTCAATGCAAAGACAATAAACAAGCAATAAAATGACTACAGGTTGTCCTTCTAATCTTAAACAGTTTGTAAATCGGTTCTATTTGTGCTTATTTCGCTGTCATTAGTCTTAAAAACCTACAACATGGCTAATTCTGGCATTTAGTTACAAATATGAGCAAAAACATACCTCTTCATCAGATTTTGATTTTGCACTTGTTTTAGACGAATCTCCTCCTCGAAATCGATTTGACGATCTCACTACGATCGGAGGGGTTGAAGTAGAGCTAGGACAACTACTTGAACTCAAATCAGGAGGAGTGCTTTGAGTTCCCACATCTCTCGTTCCATCTATTTGCTTCCCTGCATTAAAAATAAATTGTGATTGAAAGTTGTAATTATCATTCTATGAGAAATGCCACACCTCGTTTATATTGGGCCTTTGAATTGAATAAAGGCTAGTTTTAGATTGTTGTGTTTTTTTTTTTAAAGTGCTTTTCTTAAAATTGTTTTTGCTGCAATTTAAGAATAATGTAAAATAAAACAGTTGAGTGTTTGATAAACTACATGTTTAAAAGTGTTGTGAAGATGAAAACCAGTGTAAAAAAACAATATAATTACATATAATGACAAATTTGGACATGATAGTGGGCAGTGGTGGTGATGGTGGTGGTGCCAATAATTGGGTGTGGTGGTTTGGGTGCAAAAGTAACAACGGTGGTAGGGGCGGCGATGCTGGCGAGAAATGTGGTTGTGGTTGTGGTGGCAATGGTGGTGGTGCGATTGTGGTAACAATGCTGGTGGTGATGTAAGAGGTTGGGGTTTGTAATTGTAGGTGGTGATCACTTTGTTCTCCAAAGATAAAATGTGTTATGTCATTTTTTAAAATTAACGAGGGTATTACAAGAATTAAAAATATTTATTAAAATCTCAACTCCGCTTTTTTATTAAAGCATCTTCTGAAGGTTAGCAAAACATTTTATTTTTACCAAACGTCTTTGTATCGCTGAACTTTGAAGTGAAACAGCTCTTGGTGAAAGAAAAAAGCAATACCAGAAGAAGCAAAATACAAAAATAATTAGAGGTGTGAAAAGAAGAAAAATGACTGAACCTGGAATTGGAAATTGACGAGCCAAATCTTCTTTTGTAGGATTAGAAAAAGGCTTGGCAATGTTGGTTGTATGGATTGGTCTTGAGTGGGAAGAGTAAACAAGAGGTGCAGACATTGTGATTCGATTCGTTACGTTTCGAAACGATCTTCCGCTAAGTGTTTTTGCAGATAAACACTCCATTGGAACCTGCCCTGATAGAGGGTTGCATATGTATTTCTCTGCTTCGTTCCACTTTGAATTCAAAGCAAACCCTTCCGGTGATGACGTTTCCCAACTGTGATGAGCGGACCTTGCCTGCAATGCTGCAAGAACAACACAAAATCTTGTATATTAGTCCGGCTGTGGAACAAACGTCTGCTTTTTAATATAGAATGCAATAATAAAGATGAGACGTTCTGCACAGAAAATTTATATTAGTCTGGTTTTGGAATCGACATCTATCTTCCTTTGTTATTTAAGAACGTTAATAAAGACCGAACGTCATGCACAGAGAATTTCTGAGCTGTATATAATAATTTGAATTTGAACTAGTAATATGCTTTCACGATCATGATTTCGTACCTTTGAGGGCTGTGGTGAATGAGTACGTTGCCGGGTCGATTTCATCTGCCAAAAAGGAGGATTTTTTTTTTTTTTATGAGAAATGGTGGATTAAAAAACTCGGTTTTGAGTGAAGCATAGAGAAGGGTACCTCTTAAGTTATAGCCAGGGGAAGAAGCAGTGCTGGAGATTGTAATGTTTGATCTGAAAGAACTTGTGTCCTCTCTGAAGCTTCGAATGTAAGAAGCCGAAAACCTTCTAGACTTCGGGTTTTCGCGGCTGATTCTGGCCTTCACAGCCCACGCTCTCAGGTTGAACTCCGGCTCATCTCGCCTTCTCGAACCGTATGGTGAGTCTTCCATGGTGGAGATTAAATGGAGTGAGCTTTTCCTTATTCTGACTTCTCAATTTGGAATGGTTTTCTTTTAAGGGGTTTGAATTTTATAATTAGTCAGCATGAAAACATGCAGACTTCCAAATTCTGTAAATGTGCTCCTGTTTGTGGGAAGATGTAGTTTAAATGAGTTTTATATTTGTGTGGGATTAAACATGTCGGCATACGATAGGCTTGGACGTAAGCAATTTGGCTAAAACAATGTTACTTCAAAGTTTGAATTGCACCAGTGTAATTTTGGTTAAGTTAGAATATCGCTCGAATAAAAAAGAGTAGCACATGAAATAAGTATTGCCGCTTTGGCTGCCAATGATACACTCACACACGCACATAAAGGGTAAAAATTCATTCGCTTTCTCCTTCCAAAAGAGCTCGACCAAAAAAAAGAAATAGTGAAGGGAAAAGCTGCAGGCTGCAGTACAAATTTTGAGAGACAAGATTATATTTTTACCTCTTCAAAATTATACACAGTTCTATAACTTTATGGTATGATTTTCAAATACTTGAATCGAGGGTAAATTCTTTAGGGTTTTTCAAAAGAAAATACGTGCATTGATATTGTCAAACAAGTACATATAATATGTTTATACGTTTGTTGGCCATAGTGATATCGACATATTACGGATAAAACATCAATTGTCCGTCATTTGAAAAGAAAAATACTCCTATGGCCAAAGAGATACAATCACGTTACCAATTCATCAAGTGGCAGGACAAGTGATTTACTTTTTAAACACGTGACAAACATTTATTGGACGAGTGACGCCGTTCAGACTATATCTTAATTGAAAGAGATAATCTTTCCTACACAGACTATAGTTTTCCTATGCTTCTATTGGATTTTTTACCAAATGCAAAGGTTGAAAGATGACAATTCACCACTACTCTGCGGAGAGCCAAAGATTTGAGAGGTGTACGTGTGCAAAACTAACAACATAATTGGTCCAAAGAATCTCAAAATTCATGTATAACCACTGGAACGTGGGGCCATAGGGTAAGCAATTTTGGTTTGTAGTTGTGCTTTATGAAAGGACTAGCATTGCAAATAGTACTATGGTGTTGAATTTTTTGGTATCAAACAGTCCAACCAAATTTAGCATTTGAAAATGTGAGTGCATTATTTGGTGTGCCCAACTTTCCCCATCTGGGAAACTGCTGCCTGCTGGGAGTGAAGTCAGGGGAGATGTGATTTGATTACTTGTGTGAATGTGTTTAACTTTTTGACAGAGAAGTGTCAGGAAATTGAATTCAATCAGGTGAGCATAGGGATAGGGGTAACATGGGTTTTAAATTATGGAATTAAACGGATATGTTTAACTCTGAATAGTATGGCTATGGAACATACGTTCGTATTTTATTAAGAACATGTGGTCATTGGAGGACGTGGCATATGTTCGGGATGGACACAACTTCTTCTGGCGCTAGAAGAACAACGGAAGACACTCGAAACCAAAGCATGTCGTGAAAGCAGCACACTGGACGGGCATGCTGCGATTGTCTCCGAGGCACAATTGAATGTAGATATCATGAATCTGCGGGGATACCAGATCAAGAAGCCTAAGCAATATATCATTAATAATGTGTCTGTAGTCACTAAAGCAGATATAAATATTACTGATATATTATCAACAACATTAGCAACGCATCCCTTTGAAGCATAGAAAGCCTATAGAGAATTTTTATAACAAAAAAATGTGACCAACCAGAATATATATTATCCTACGTAGTGCAAATATCGGCCTATTATTTACCTCCTTGGACCTCTGTAAGTCTAAACCAATGAGATTATGAGAGTGCATAAAACTTGTGATATATGAAACCAAATATTAAAATCACATGCGGTTTTTTTTATTTATAATTTTTGGGGAAATGGGTAAAAACAGCAAATAAGTTGATCTGGCAAGCAGATAACAATATGGGGTTGCTTTCGGTCTGGCCTGGACCTATATCTGGATCTCGATGGAAAGAAGAAAAAAGTGTGGGCAGAAAGAACTGGAGAGCAGACTGTGTGTGTCTTAGAGAGAGAGAGAGAGAGAGAAGAGAGAGAGAGAGTGAGTGAACCTCTCTCTGTGCGTGTGCGTGTGCGTGTGCGTGTGCCTGTGCGTGTGAGTTTCCATGTCATGTGATTGTCAACATCCTTGTCATCCCTCGTCAAGCGAAAGAGATAATCTCTGGATTCCTTTCTCCTAATCCATCAAGTTCGAAAATTCGGATCATTGAAATTTGATTCAATAACTAAAATTATTATAATTTTTAAACTAAACCCCTGTTTGTAACCGTTTGATCAAATTTTAATAGTTCGGATTCCCGAACTTAGTGGATTAGAAGGAAGCATGGTCTAAAATATCGATGATATCGGAAATATCGGTAGTCCAAAAACAAGTAAATTTCAATGGAAATATCGGGATATTATTGATATCGATAAAAATTGAATAAAAACCAAGAAAATTGTAAGAAAAACTTGGAAATTTTTATTGAAACTTTGCAGGATGTTTATTTAGTCAATTATCTATTAGTTTATCACAAAAAATTGGAAGGAAATGCATTGCATGATGGATTTAACTGATTTAAGTTGATTATATAGTGAGCTGGCAAACATTGTGAGTGTAGAAAATATGTAATAATTTATAAAAGAAGTTTAAACACACCATAATCATTTATATATGTAGTAATTTCAATGGCTTTCAAGAACCAAAACCCAAAAGTCAATAGGAAACCGAATGCTTCGGTATTTTTTGGGATTTCGGGATTACCAAACAAATGGGGTTTGGAAACCAATCCCATATTGAAAATTTCGGTATTTTTTGGGATGGATTTGGTTTGGATTTGGGACTTTTTCGGTTTGGTTTGGGATTTTCGGGAATTTTTTCCAGCCCTACATATAAGTGACCAAATAAAAAATAGAAAAATTAAAAAACACATGCCATTGACTAAGTAATTAATTGACACAATTTAAAATATAATACCACAAAAAAATTTGGAATATGTGCAAATTTGTTTCTTGCAAAAAGAATTCAAAACAAAACCATATATATAAATATTTTAGCATATTTTCACAAAAACATAAGTGATATGGTGGTCAAGGCGTTGAAAGAGTCACATGGGAGGGGTTCGAAATCCCTCTATGCACAAGATTGAGATTTTTCAGAAATTTTCAAATATTTTCGGGTTTCATCTTGCAATAATATCGATATTATCGCGATACATTAACGATAATTAAAGGGATAAGTCACAAAATATCTTCATCTCAAAAAAACGATTTCGCCGATATTATCTATATTTTGGTCCATGGAAGGAAGGGATCATGTGAGATTTTTCAAAAATTTTCAAATATTTTCGGGTTTCATCTTGCAATAATATCGATATTATCGCGATACATTAACGATAATTAAAGGGATAAGTCACAAAATATCTTCATCTCAAAAAAACGATTTCGCCGATATTATCTATATTTTGGTCCATGGAAGGAAGGGATCATGAGAGGATCCCTTTCCCTCTTCAAGCCATCCTCAAATTATTGGGATGCCCCAACCCCTCTGGAACCCTCATCATCATGGTCGTCAGTTTTGTCCGATTGTGTATGCAACGTAGGTTTCAGCTGCGGTCCAAACCACCAAACCCCACCCCACATTTAATCTCTAAAGCCTTCACTGCGCATTTCGAGAGGAGGAAGGAGGAGGAAATAATCTGGTCTTATCTGGATATAATTGTCCGTTTATTTTCTTTTTCGGCTAAGGTAATTACTGTCCTCGTAAATCAAAGATGTCTGTTAAATCCAACACTTAAAAACATTTGTTTCCAGAGAAATTTCACCTGTGAATGGCAAGGTCTCACAGAAAGGAGAGAAACTTGCCAGTAACGACAACGTTGCTATGACGTTATTCCGAATTAATCAGGCACTATCATGTGGAAAAATTAAAGACAGGAAAATGCTAGTTTGAGTTGAGATACCGCCACAGTAGAATTTCAGTTGCAAGTTCAGAGACAGAAAGTAGGGGTTTTACTAATGCTGATGAAAACTAGTATATTTTCCATTTCCATATCATCAACAGCAGTACTAGACAATCGTAAGCATCAAGTTCAATAAAAAGCGTTATTACGCAGAGTCCATATGTGGTGAGAACTGCGAAGTTAGAAGTGTTATTACAGACCTTGCAAGCTTTACGAACTGAAAGTCTCGTAATGTCCGGAGTTTCATCCACATCAGTCTCAGACCTTGCCAGCCGTCTCATAGCTTTTTTTGCCTTTGGCGAATGCACTTCAGTTCTCCAGTCGAAAACCTCGGAATAGAGACACGCTCGACATGAGGCAACACAAAAGAACCACCAGCGAATACATTGACATATGACAAACTTGTAGCTCCTGGAGTTAGGTTGAACAACAGAAGTAGCTTTCCGTTGCTGAAAGAATCAACCTTAAGAATTCGGAAATTAATGGCAGGCACGCAACTGGTCCCAATTCCATACCACCTAAAATGGAGGGGAAAAGATTTGATAAGATTGAATGATCTCAACTGTATAATGCACACGTCCAGTAGTGATGCACACCACACAATGACAGCAAACATTAAGAATCCAATACCAGATTAAAGTAAGAACAGTCCACAACCTTCTTGAATCCTTGTTATCGGTTACATGTACAACAAGCTCTTAAATCCAAACACAAGTATTTGAGACTAGAATGGCTACTTTGGCCGAAAACCCTTTGACCCCTCACGGACTCATTTAGACTCCACTGTTAACACTTTTACATTAGCAGAAAAACAAGAGTCAACCTATATGATCTCTACACTACCATGTAGCAAATGAATGCAAACTATCATTGAAATCCACAGCCCATAGTCTGAATTAACTTCTTTTGATCTGTCCAATTACAAAAAAATTAAATGACAGTGCATACCTTCAACAGCTCAGCATTCTCAAAGTCTTTATCACTTTAGAGTAAAGGGGAAACTGCAACTCCTGACTTTGGCAATATAGACAATGCAAGGTACCATGGAAATCAAAGAACAAAAGAAGGGCACCTGCAAAAATCAAAATATGAGTTAAGACTCCATACTAAAATACAGAGTAGACATGACAACTTGTTTCCGAGTCCTGAGAACATTACCCCAGGATCACAATCATACTGGCAGAGCTCCTTTAAGCCCGGAATTCAGAAGTCCTGAGAAGAAACCACCTTATATTACAGCCACAGAAGAAAAAATATATATTTGAGTGAATAGGTTCAAGACAAACTGCT